AACCAGCCAAAATAAGAAGCGTGGCCCCCGTGTGCCCTAGGCTTAGGGCTTGGAAACCAGACAAAATAAGAAACGTAGCCCCCTACGTTTCTTACTTTGGCTCCTGCCGTGTGCCCTAGCCTGGTTTTTTTAGAGAACTACCCACATGCAGCCATCGCCCGAGGATGGGCGAGAGCCATCTGCACCTTAGCAGAGGCCGGAAGTTGAGGATTCCGGGTCTCAGATTTGAGTTTTAGGGTTTTTAGGGTCTTAGGGCTTTGGGTTTTAGGGTTTGGGGTCTAAGGTTTAGGGGTTTAGGGGTTTAGGGGTTTAGGGTTTTAGGGCTTAGGGCATTAGAGTTCAGGGTTGAGGCTTTAGGGCTTTCCATTTAGATTTGAGGGTTTTCGAATTTGCAAGGTGTTGTAGGGGTTGCAAGGTTCCCTAAACCCTAAACCCTAAACCCTAAACCTTAAACCTTAAACCGGTTCCGCATTTGGGCCTTCTTTCAGGGGTCTTCCCTTCCGGAAATTTCGAGTTTATGGGTTCAAAGCAGTTTAGGGTTTAGGGTTTAGGGTTTAGGGTTTAGGGTAGCAAAGCAGGCTTCTGTGAAAGAAAGCACCGGTTCAGGTTTGGGGGTTTAGGTTTGGGGCTTCGGAGTGTGGGTTCAATGTAGGGGCCTTAATAATTACCTGCAGGGTTTAGGGTTTAGGGTTTAGGGTTTAGGGTTTAGGGTTTAGGGGGGGGGTTCCTTATTACTAGGGTTCCCTAAACCCTAAACCCATTTTGGGTTCAGGGTTTGGGTTTAGGGTTTAGGGCCTTGGGGAAGGCACCCTTGACTTCATGGGAGCAGTCCCCGGAGCACTAGACCCTCAAAGCCTTTCTTAAGGCTAGGGGTGCTCTGTTTTTTGCGGGGCTTAGCCCTAAACCCTAAAATCCTTGAGCCCCAAACCCTCAAGCCCTAAACCCTCAAACCCTGAACCCTGAAATTTGAAACCCTCAAACAGATTATCGGATGCCGTGCTGTTATCTTCGTGCTTGCTGTATGTCCCACTGCATGAAGGCTGGTGGCGGTCTCACGCTCGTACCGGGATCCGTCAAGTCAAGTGCTGAACCTGAAAGCCAAAGCCCCTCTAAGCCCTAAGCCCTAAACCCTAAACCCTAAACCCTTAACCCTAAACCGTCCCCAAACCCTAAACCCTAAAAAAGCAATCAGCTTGCAGGTGGAAAGCGAGAACGGCTCATCCTAACCATTTTCAGGCCGTGCCGGGAGACTTGTTGGTTTAGGGTTTAGGGTTTAGGGTTTAGGGGATTTGCGGTTAGGGCTTGGGTGCTATGTGCCATGCGGTGGTTTACTTGATTTTCCATGGTACCGGTCTTGGGGCGAGTTTTGCATGTCTGTGCTCTTTACTGTGACGGGCATTCTTCGGGAACAGACTCCACTATCCCGGTTTTGCAAAGTCCGCAGGTCTACAGCGTAAACCAAACTCGAAACCAGATATCCCAAAGCCTGAACCCGAAACCCTAAACCCCTTATAGATCCCCCTTGTAGAACCCTTATAGACCCCTTTAAAGGAACCCATGGTAGATCCCTTAAAGGACCCCCGGAACCCTGAAGAGAACAGGTCGTTGCCGGGGGGAGCCACGCTGCGAACATCGTTATGAGCAGATTTCCGCGGCCTCCTGGTTCACTCCCAGAGACTCCAAAACCCCTTAATTAAGGAATATACCTTAAATCTTATTAGGGTTCCCATTAAAATTTAAGGTATATTCCTTAATCAAGGGGTTTTGGAGTCTCTGGGTTCACTAGGGCCTCTAGGGCTTTTAGGGGTTTAGGGTTCTAGGGGTTCTAGGGCTTCTAGGGGTTTAGGGGCTTCGGGGTTTGGGGCTTGGGGTTCAGTTAGAAGCATTTTACGTTTGGATGAAAAGGATGGAGCCTGGGATAGAGAGCTGCGAGTGAGGCAGGTCTAGATGAATCACTTCGGAGTGATTCTTGCAGGTCAGCACATTCCGCCGTGGCAGAGACTTCCACCCTAAACCCTAAACCCTAAACCCTAAACCCTAAACCGTTTCTCTAAGCCCTAAAGCCTAAACCCTCTTGCAATGTTTCGGGCACTCTCCCGAGCTCCTGCCCGTGCCTCTTCACGTGGTTCTGCGGTAATGTAGGGGTTTAGGGTTTAGGGGAACCTGATTAAGAAACCCTGGTCCTATAATCCCGCGATATCAGGATCCATCTCAGGAGCCCTAAACAGACCCGGGGTTTTCTGAATCCCAGGGTTTTCTTAATCAGATTCCCATATGGGGGTTTCCGAAAATTAGGGGTACCTTATTTTGGGATCCTTATAACAGGGATCCTACTATTTAGGGTATTATATTAGGGTCCCCTATTTTCGGTAACCTCCATATCACCCTCGCAGTTGCACCCCAGTCTAGGGTTTCCTAAATTCTGGTCGCCCGCTTCAGTGACAGCTGATAGAACGATGCTGCGCGGTTAGGACCCTAAACCTTAACCCCAAACCCTAAACCCTAAACCCTAAACCTAAACCCGGGCTGCATCGATTCATCTCTTCGTTCGCATAGGATTGAAAGTTTGCTGCAGATCCACAGAGGTGACTAAGGAGCAGAGCCCAGATTGGGAGTTTCCGAAAATTGAGGACCCTAATATAGTACCCTAATATAGTAGGTTCCTTTTTGTACGGACCCCCAAAATAAGGTACCCTAAAATAGTACCCTAAATAGTAGGTTCCTTATTATCAGGACCCCAAAATAAGGTACCCCTTAGTGTCGGAAACTCCCAGATCTTGCCAAAGCGCAGGGTTTCCAGGGCTCCGTGGGATGCGATGTGCTCTCAAATCCCTGTCTTGGGTCTGGTGCACACCTTGCTGGTACCCGGCACCATGCTCGTATCTGTCACCGTGGCAGCCCAATCGAGGGCTCTTCAAGACTGGAGCCCGTGCAAAAAAGTGTCTCCAGGTTTGGGGCGTTTGTGCTAGGGTTTTCAGGGTTGGAGGCTGGGGGGGTTCCCTTTGGGGCTTCCTGTAAGGGTTTAGGGTTTAGGGTTCAGGGTTTAGAGTTTGGGGTTTAGGGTGTAGGGTTCAGGGTTTAGGGTTTAGGGTTTAGGGTGTGGGTTTAAGGTTTAGGGGTTTAGGAGTTTAGGGTTTGGGGTTACTTTAAGGTTTAGGGTTTAGGGTTTGGGGTTTCTTTAAGTTAACGTTGTTAGGGATTTAGGGTTTTGGGGTTTGGGGTTCCTTGAAGGTGTTCGGGATTCAGGAGTTTAGGGGTTAGGGTTTCGGGTTCCTTTCAGGTTTAGGGGTTTATGACTTTGGGTTTGGGGTTCCTTTAAGGTTTAGGGTTTAGGGGTTCAGGGCTTTGGGTTTGGGGTTCCTTTCAGGTTCAAGGGTTTATGGTTTAATTAAAGTTTAGGGTTTGGGGTTCCTTGAAAGTCTGGGTTCCTTTAAGGGTTCCGTTAAGTAAGGGGTCCATTGAAGGGATCTATGAGGGTTTAACGTTGAATTAGGGCTTCGGGGTTTAGGGTTTAGGGTTTCGCAAGGGGCTCCAAAGGCGGGATGAACGCCATTTTGTGGGCCTTAAGAATTAGGAAAGGGTTCCTTTAGAGGGTATACCCTAAAACCCAAACCCTAAACCCCTAAACCTTAAGGAAACCCCTAAACCTTGAACCCCTGAACCTTACAAGAACTGCAAACCCTAAACCCTAAACTCCTAAAGCCTAAACCCTAAGCCAATTTCAAGCATTGCCATAGGGGGTGCTTTAAGGTTTGATAACATAGGGGGCATGATGGACTACCATGACTATTCCTTAGGGTTCTTCACGAAGGCCCTTAGGAGCTCTATATATATATATATATAATATATAATATAATATATATATATATATATAGATATAGATATAGATATAGATATGTATATATATATATATATAGGTTTATATGTATATATTAAGGCATCATGTACCACGATCCCAAAATTGCTGCTCCTCGCTGCGGAGGTAGTTAAAACCCTGATGGCTGCTCCGGGCATCGACGTGAACGCAGGGGCCTACAGCGCTATGGCCTGCATTGCAAGGTGTGTCCTTCCACCTGAAAACCCTAACCCCTTAAAGCCTTAAAGCCAAAAGCCCTATACCCGAAACCCTAAACCCCTAGACCCTTAACCCTAAACCCCTAAACCCTCAACCCTAAGCTTGAAACCTTGAGCCCGAATCCAGAAAGCCTCAAGCCCCAAACCTTGCACCCTGAACTCTACAACCTAAACCCCCAAACTTTAAACCCTCAACCACTAAAACTCAGCCCTACACCCCAAAACCCAAACCACTAAACCCCAAACCACGACAACCTACTGTAAACCCTGCGCCCCCAAACCCAAACCTCTAAACCTGAACCTCCTTCACCTGGGTGTTGGCTTTGGTTTCGGGATAAGAGATCCGGAGGCACTAGTACCAGTCCCCGATGGCGTCTTATGAGTGTGCGAAGCCAATCTAGAAAGCAGGTTCTGAGCATTGGTGCCCAAACCCTATTCCCTAAACCCTAATCCCTAATCATGCACCCTAAACCCTAATCCTTAAACCCTAAGCCGTGTTTGTTTTGGTTCCGAGTCTAAACAAACCCTATACGGGTAGTTTTATAAATGAGGGTCCCTTTTAGGGTCTTCTTTTTAAATCAGGGTGCCGCATTATTTTGTGAACCTGAAAAGGGAATCTAAATTAGAGAACTACCCATATCCCAAACTCGATATCCTTACCCTGGACCCGGACATTTCTTCCTCCTACCCCGACAGGATTGAGAGCCACCACTGGCACAGCCAAGGTCTCCCAAACCCGCGGTGGATTCTTGCAACGTCGAAACCTTGCTCCCTGAAGTCTAAATTGTAAACTTAAGCCAGCGCCACAAACCTGAACTCCAAATTCAAGAATCCCTGAACCCTAAACCCTAAACCCCTAAACCCCTGAACCCTAAACCCTCAACCCTCAACCCTAAACCCCTGAAACTTAAACCCTCAACCCTCAACCCTAAACCCCTGAACCCTAAGCCCTCAACCCGAAACCCCTAAACCCCTGAACCCTAAACCCTCAACCCTAAACCCCTGAACCCTAAACCCGGGCCCCTGACTCGAAAACCCGAAGCCCTCTCAGGCTACGGCTGGCACGGGTCGCACGTTCGAATGACCCCCCTGGGCATGGCCATCATCGGTGAGATCGAGCCCTGACTGTGGAGTTGTGTTGGGTTTACGTTTTATGGGCTTTCGGGGGTCGGGCTTTAAGGGTTCAGGCTTTGAGGGCTTTAGGGCCTAGGGGGCGTAGGATTTTAAGGCGTTCGGGGTCTTGGTGTTTTTCGGGCTTCGGGCCTTGAAATGAAGAGGCTGCAAACAAAGTAAGCTCTACTAGGTTTAACACTCTTGGGGCTAAACCCTACACCATAAACCCTAAACCCCTAAACCCTAAACCCCTAAACCCTAACCCTTAAACCCTAAATCCTAAACCCTAAACCCCTAAACCCTAAACCCTACAGGCTTCAAGTCGCGCCCCTGGCAGACCTTTGAAACTCTAAAGCCCCCAATCCCTGCCCTGCCCCTGAACAGCCTACAGGGTTTAGGGGTTTAGGGTTTGGGGGTACGGGGGCTGAAACCTGAATCCTAAACCCTAAACCCTGAGCCGTTACGGGGGCTGAAGCCTAAACCCTAAACCCTAAACCGTTCCGGGGTCCGAAACCTAGCCTAAAGCCTAAGCCCTAAACCGTTCCGGGGGCCGAAACCTAAACCCTAAACCCTAGACCCTAAACCCTAAACCGTTAAAGGGGCCGAAACCTAAAGCCTAAATGCTGCAAAGACTGCCAGGCTTTTCTCTGCTAGCAGAGGCTTCTTTCCTGCCTAAACCGCCTTGACACCCTAATTTCGGTCCCTATCAGGTTTAGGGGTTTAGGGGTTTAGGGTTAGGGGTTTAGGGTTTAGGGTTCGGTCCTCATCACACAGTGAGAATAGGGCTGTTATTTGGTATGATAAAGTGTAACTAAATTTAAATTCCCACTGAACATGCAAACCTTATTTCAGTTGAAGACCCCCAAGCTCTCGCTGTTCGGGAAAAACTCCTACCCTTATGTTACATCTGTAAATGGGTGATTCTCTAAATGAGGGTCCCTTTTAGTTTTTTGTGTTTTTGATGGGTGTCGTACGGCGAGTTTGGGGCCCCCAAAAAGGGGCCCTAATTTAGAGGACTACCCAAATCCCTGAAACTAATCTTTAGGTTGATAAGGGCGCTCTGCCGAGCTCTACCCTAAACCCTAAACCCTAAACCCAAAGTTTACACATTCCAGAATGCCGCCCTCCGACCAGATTAGGAGGCCATGCTCGCAGCAGAGCCTTCCCGGAACTGAAATTCGACATCGGAGCCGGTTTAGGCTTTAGGGTTTAGGGTGCTCTGAGATTTATGGCATCACGAAGTGTCTTTTTCCATTTTGAGCAACCTTCCTTGGCATTGTTGTCTTGATGCTTGTCAACATGGTTGAGTATCGCATACCTCCGAAGCTCAACACTGATGATGAAGGCCAGTATTTTATATTGATATGATGTGGGCTGCACATCCGAATTCAGCGGCGCGAACCCCATGGGCCAAATCAATGAAGCGCTTCAGGCTTGAAGGTTTGGTCTGTTGGGTTCCTACACCTCCAACTCTATTATACTACCCTAAACCCCAAAACCCTGAACCCTAAACCCTAAACTCTACCTCCCCGCCTCGTGCTATTGTCCCGCTTCGAGCTAGTGCGAATGTCCTAGCTCCAGTTCTTCTAGGGTTTATGGTTTAGGGTAAACTGCCATAAGCCTCCATGACCAATACCAAGATCAGCAAAAGAAACAGGGAAGTAGCTGCACCAATAGGGTTCATTTATGGTTCAGAGATTCTTCTGAGAAGGATCCTCGTGCACTATATAGAGTCCTAAATAAATACTAAGATTAATCCTCAGGGTTCCGTATTATCTTGAGACGATTAAAGTATAAATCCACCACATTATAATCCTAAAAGGGGGGGTCCTGACTCTGAAGGACCATGCGGGGAGACCTACTTGTCAGCAACACCAGGCGTAGCTCTCTAAATTAGGGTCTCGTTTTCGGGTCCTTCTTAGAATGGTGCCGAACCATTTTGGGGACTTGAAAAGGGGACCCAGATTTAGAGAACTACCCATATGAAACCGCTTTAAAACCTAACCCCCCCCCTAAACCCTAAACCCTAAACCCTAAACCCACCATATCCGTTTTGAATCTACGACTCCGGCCACGCCCTAAACCCTAAACCCTAAACCCTAAACCCTAACACGCCAGCCCTCGAAGGATACGGGCAACTGTCGCCACTCCTTGGCAGCAGACCTGCGGCTCGGTCTGGGGTGCAGGCTTTAGGGTTTTAGGGTTTAGGCTTTAGGGTTTAGGGTTTAGGGTCTAGGGTCTACCTTAACCCCAAAGAACCTACCTTTTTAAGGATTTATATAAAGAAATCATAATAAGGAGCCCTAAAAAGGTAGGTTCTTCAGGGTCCAGGTAGGGTCTAGGGTTTAAGGTTTAGTAATTAGGGTTTAGGGTAAACTTTAGGGTTTCAGGTGTAGCTTTCCGAGTTTCGAATAATATAGAAACCCTAAACCCTGCACCCCGAAGCCCCTAAACCCTAAACCCTAAACCCTAAACCCTAAACCCTAAACCCTAAACCCTAAACCCTAAACCCTATAGAAGCCTGAAGAAGTACCAAAACCAGTCCTCAGGGCTGCTTTCTACAGTTATAGCACGGGAAAACCCCCAAACCCTGTTCTAATTAAGTATAAAGGCCCTTAGTTTAGGGTTTAGGGTTTAGGGTTTAGGGTTTAGGGTTTAGGGTTTAAGTTTAGGGCCCTTATACTTTGGGTGCCCAGATAATTCACACCAGTACCCCCTTGGGCTCTCAAGAGGCCTCCATGCCAAGAGGTGTAAAGTTAGACGGCTGCGGGGCTGCAGCAGCGCCGACGGGAGGCCCTAGTCCAAGCGCGTTTGTTGCGGCGTTTGATTGCGCTAAACGGCACTCCAGATTTCTGTAAGAACGATCAAGTCCACGACATCCTCAAGAAAGAGTTCGCAGCCCGGCTGCAAGAGCTGTCGCTCCGGGCAACGTCCTTCTCCTGACTTGCGAAAGAACGGCGGCATTTCTTACTCGGCCAAAGGCTACCACAGATGCCTTGGCAAATATCTCATTGCCACGGCTTTTGCAGAAACACTTGGGGCATTCCCGCACTTCAGGTGCTTTGGTCGCGTTTGCATTCGCCTGCGTGATTAGGGACCCGGAGCTACTCCCAACTCTTCTCACCTCCCTGCATCAGGTGCCTCGCGGCACATATCCGCTGACTACCATGTAGTTTACATATACACGAGTACTTGCATGAGGGGGCGTAGTTCATGGTGTTTTGAGGGCTTTGCATTTGGACTTGGGGCGAGGGCCCTTGCCCTTGCATGACGTGATATACTCTTTGCAGTTCCGGTGTAATATACCCCAGCAACGTATTAAGGCTGCTTCCCCATACCATAGCACCCTTATAGTAGCCCTTCCACCCTAAACCCTAAACCCTTATAGTAGCCCTTCTAGAGCCCTTCACAAGACTCCCCCAGAGGGTCCATGTATCCTACTGTACCACCATGGAATTGAGCCCCAAGCGACCAGCCTAATCATGGTTTTGGGGACCTAATTCCAACATGGCAGCGTGCATGGACATGGGCCCGTTTAGGGTTGAGGGCTTAGGGTTCAGAGTTTTAGGGCTTAGGGTTTAGGCCTTTGGGTTTAGGGCTTAGGGTTTAGGGTTTAGGGTTCAGAGTCTAGGGCTTAGGGTTGTTTGGAACCTTAAACACCACGGTCCTACTGCAACAACCCTAAAACCCTGAAACCCTGAAACCCTGAAGCCCTAAACCCTAAAACCCTAAACCAAAAGCCCCTAAAACCCTAAACCCTAAAGACCTAAAACCCTAAACCTAAATCCAAAGCCCTAACACCCTAAAGCCCTAAACCCCAAAACCCTATAACCCTAAACCCTATAAACCCTAAAACCCTAAAGCCCTAAACCCTCAGCCTTAAAACCCTAAAACCCTAAAGCCCTAAAGCCTTAAACCCTCAGCCTTAAAACCCTAAAACCCTAAAACCCTAAAACCCTAAAACCCTAACCCTAAAACCTAAAACCCTAAAACCCCTAGACCCTCAAACCCCAAAACCCTAAACCCTGAACCACAAAAGCCCTAAACCCTAAAACCCTAAACCCAAAAACCCCTAGACCCTCAACCCTGTGGGTGCCGGGACCTCTGAGGCCCCTCGCTGCCCCACGCTCGGAGATCCTGAAGCTCTTGGTCAAAGATCCGAGGAGCCATGGGTTCAGGGTTTAGGGTTCAGGGTTTAGGGTTTAGGGTTTAGGGTTCAGGGTTTAGGGTTCAGGGTTCAGAGTTTGGGGTTTAGGGTTCAGGGTTTAGGGTTCAGGGTTCAGGGTTCAGGGTTCAGGGTTAAGTCACGGGTTTAGGGGGTGGTCTTCAGGGTTCTTAGGTGTTTTGATGCGGTCTTTGCGGGTTAGTGCATCGGTTCGAGGTTTTTGGCTTAGGTTTAGGGTTTAGGGTTGGGCATTTTCGCACTCATCCTCAGCAAGCCTTTTGGATGAGGTTGGGGGTCATGGTACTTGTCTAGGGTTCAGGGTTTAGGGTTTCGGATCTTTTGTTTAGGGTTTAGCGGTTTGGGGTTTAAGTTCTTGGGTTTTGGATTTAGGTACATTACAGGGGCTGGGGTGCAGATTATTTGAGCGACAGAGCCTGATGCCCTGATTTCTGACACTGTGAAGCCCACAACTTTACCGAGCTCTTCAACAAGTCCGCCCTAAACCCTAAACCCTAAACCCTAAACCCGGTAGTTTCTAGAAGCCAAGCCTTACCCCTGATACGCATAAACCTGAAAATCTCGAAACCCCAAACCATAAACTCTGGATCTCCTGCTTTCGATACCCCAAAAGGGTCCTACACACCTATATGGGAGTTTCAGAAAACACGGGGTACCTTATTCGGGGTCCTTATAATAGGGGTCCTACTATTTAGGGTACTATATTAGGGTCCCCTATTTTCGGAACCCCCTATATAGTAGAATGTAGCAGGAATAACCATTATGATCTGGGAAAGTATCACCCATAGCACTACCTCGGACACTTTGGGTACTTCACCCTAAACCCTAAACCCTAAGCGAAACCCTGAGGGTACTGCAGCTGCAGGACTGACCTCGAAGAGTCATACTTCGAGATGTACGAAGGCCTCATGATGTGGGCTTCTCGAGCCTCCGTGGGAGGGATTTGGGTTCAGGGCTTGGGGTTTAAGTTTCAAAGATTAAGGCTGAAGTTGCTTGTCGTAGTTCAGGATGTTGTGGGAGGATAAATATAGAGGAACTGACAAATACCAATACGGTTCCTTATTCTACGTATAGTTGGTATACCCCAAAACCTTATTCTGATGACTAAGGCCCCTACATTAC